TCTATTTTATATTTAATAAATTCTACTTTAAAATCTAAATATTATATCTATTTTATTTTTTTGAAATAAAAATAAATTTTATATATTAATATTTAATTAATTATATTATATGATTAATTAATACACAAATTATTAGAAACACATTTCTTTATTTATACAAATATTTATAGATATTAAAGCTCAATATCAAAATATAAAATATTTTTAATTAAATTGAACATAATTATAATTATAAATTCATTCAATAAATATATATAATATCTCCTGAATATGTTATTTTTAAATAAAAATTTTTAATTTCATAAAACTCTGATTTATAATTTTTAAAAATTATATACATGAGTATTTTGATTTGTACTTTTTAAGTCTTATATCAATTAATTTGTCTAAACTATAATATATATATATATATATAATACATCTGATCTGAAATAAGCAACTATTTTTTGCTATAAATTACTATAATTTGCTATCTCTTCTTTTACTTTAAATCAAGAACTAATGTGAAAACTAATTTGTGAAAGCAAAAAATTATAAACATTTATGTTCATTCAATGACAGAGCAAAAGTGTATGTCATATATTCTATTCTTTTCCGAAGAATGACTGTGCTATGTTTTATTATTTTATGATTTGCCACAATTTCAAGCTTTTTGTTTTATTTATTGAATGAAGAAAACGATATTAAGTCAAAATTGAGTAATCTCAAAAGAGTTGCTTATTTCGGAATAAAACTGTATATTATATTTATTTTTCTTGATTTTAATCTACTTAAAATTTAACACTTTGGTAAAATAGGTAGTACTTTTAATTTTATGTGACTTTAAAGTTCTTCTTCTCTCTATGCCTCTTAAAAGTGTTAAAGTTCCTAAAATTAAAAAATTATTATAATTATTTAAATTATATAAAATAATATAAAATAACTATTTCAAATCAAAATAGTTGTAAAACACTTATGAAAAAAAAAGATTTTAATTTAACATTTGATTTCGATTTCAGTTTTATATATAATAATATATTTTTATATATTATATTTAATATATTTTTATATCTATAATTTATATAAATAACATGGTTATAATATAGTTATAACATAGTTATGTCGCTTTTATATCGATACAATACTTAATTTGTAAATTTTGTTTATTTTTTTTTNTTGATATATTACCAAGCAAAAAGATATTCTATGATTTCAATGTTTTTTAATATTGATTTATCTAAATTGTAAATATATATGAAGTATTCCTTTCTTATATATATATATATAATAATGAAAAGTCAAATACAATTAAT